TCGTTGAATGTGCATGGAGGCGATGGTGCGGGTCGACTTTTCGTTACAATCAACGGGGATGGCTGGTGCGACGTCGATGCAGCCGACAGTTAATTCCCGTTGAGTTTGTGACTACCCATACTTTGCTAAAATAAGATCATTTTCAGTTATCCACCAATCTTTGATTAATTCAATGTCTGGCTTTGATAGGAAGATTGAATTGGCCTATCGCTCGCTCCTTTTCTAGCTCACAAGCTTCTCGATCTAACACCAATGATCCAGTTCTGTTCTCTACAACTCCTAGAACTACTGTACCGACGTGTAGAGAAATGAATGATTTGGTCCAATTTGGTTCGTATATTACACTATAGGTCACTCATAGCCTCATGCTTACCGTCATATAGACTATGTCTCCGATATCGACCTCCACGCAGCCTGGCAAGAGTCTTCCTACGTACCCGATATACCCCCCTCCCTCGCTTCCGACCGCCGCAGATCGAGACCAACTTCTGTAAACTTATCAGAGGACTTAAACCCTGGTTCTGTCTCCGTCTACCAAGGCGGAGGATATTTTTGTGTACTTTTCCGCCTTCTTGCTATTAGAGGAAGTCTACTGGGTGGAATTTCGTCTTTCAAGAATGGATTCGCTCAGTGATGAGTTGATCGGCGAGCACCTATTTTTCCTGCCACGAATCGAGACAGCGATGGGGAGTCTGTCTCGGGTGCGCGAGCAGATTCTCGACATTATCTCCCGAGCATGCTCTGCAGCGCGGCCTACCCGCCTCCGACTGTCCATGTGGCCCCGCTTGGAACCCCTTCCCTACGCTCAGCACTTTATGATGTCACCGCACTCCGCTCTGTCTACCTTGCCATGCCTCGATCCTGGATTTTTCGTCAATAGCCTCCGCGGGAATTCCAGGTAGACCTGGGAACTGAACTGGAGATACAGAATCGGAAATGCAAGTAGTATATTACAGATACTAGTGCCGAGTTAGTTATACAAACATCAAGCCATGTTGCACCCCTGGCTACCTACCAGCCCAAGCGCACAATTTTTCATGGCCATCAGCATTGATACTTGCCTTATCACATATTCTGCACAATAACAGGCAGATACTGTACAAGTTACGCTGCGGCGTGGCCCTGATCTGCGCAGCCCCCGTATCGCAACAGTTTTCCTTGTTCTCTCGCCTGCTCTTGCCAACTCTCCTTTTCTTATATTTTCGGAAGCTCTGGAAAATACAAAAATGACATCAGCACAGTACCTATGGAATTGCTGCTTGAGTCAGTCGTGACATCGTAATAATCTGAAGTTCCATATTCATCGGAAACTATAACGCATTCTCGCTCCACATGCCTCACTTTGGGCATGCATCTTCACCTGTGCTTTTCAACATTTAAATGTGGACAGATACCCCAAGTATCTCGTTTCTATTTTTCATGTATTACTTGTAACGCCCTTTCTAAGCGGGAAGGCCCAAGAATGTTCGATCCGGAGCCCTGGATTTGACCGCCTTCGGTGATTGATGACATTGGCAATTATAACTAATAGTAGTGAAATTAAGGTTGAAAAGGATATTGTGCTAAAAATGAAATTCAGAGGATAAATGATACAGTAAACGATAAGAACAGTGGCGACAAGTACGTTTTGGAGCAGTGATATGTGCTTGACTATGTCAGGCTACGAGTGAACGAGATGAGATTTTCTGGGAAATAAATGTACAGAACTATAATATATAGACAATCCCTGTGCCCTATGTTCTCCGAGTCAAATCTTCAAATATGTCTTTGATCTGGTTTATCACAATACTTGCATGAGTCTCATCCACCAATCTAAGATGTGCATTCTCACCCAGCCGTGCAGCTATCTGGACGCCATGATTAGGTGGAACAAAAGTGTCGAGTTTCCCATACCACAAATCCACAGGTAGATCATGACGAATCTCTTCAATTCGAAACCCAAATTCCATGCACATCAACTTGCCATCTTGCCATATACCTTCAAATCCCTGCGAGAAGCTTTCCCGAGAGGATCGCAAAGATAGTGGGGGCCATGCAGACTTCATAAACGCAATATCTTTCTCATGGCCAGCTGGCTGTCTAAGCATAATTTTGAGACGCTGCTCATCAGTCAAGTTGAGGCGTCCTAATATGTCGTTTTGCCAAAACCATCGGGTTACAGCGAGGGGCGCATAACGAAATCCATATGGAAATCCAAGCTTGTGCAGCAAATCTGCCCCGCTCATACCAATATCAGGAGGTCCCATTGCACAGACAAGTGAGACACACCTGAGCTTGTTGCTAGGCATTGCTCTAGCACAAGCAAGGGCAGATGGTCCACCTCCTGATATTCCCTATCCCAGGGTTAACAACCAGATTTCGGCAGCTTGAGGAACCATAGGATGCTCGTACCAAAACACTATACCGATCGAGTCCAAGATGGTCTGCAAGATGTTCTAAGTCCTTCGGAAAATCGAGTAGTGTTCGATTGGGGTGTGGTGAGCTCCACCCTATACCAGGCCTGTCTACCGCAATAACACGGGCGCCGAACTCCAAGCCTAACGCGTGAAAGCCGGCACCCTCTAGGCGAGACCCTGGAAAGCCATGCACAAAAAATATAGGCCGTCCGTTTAACGAGCCATATTGTGCATACCCGAGATTTCTTCCATCTGGGAGGGTCAGAGTATCCGAACTGTCGGTATCCGTACGGAACTGGGGCTGGGCGGGCTCAGCTGTAAGAGCCGCTGGAGCGTCGGCCGGGTTATGATTGGCGGCTGTGAAATTGGCAAATAACTGAAGAAGCCAGGTTTTCGCGCTTGATGCCGGAGACATTTTAGGCCTTAGAGATTATGTAGAACTCTGTATTCGCTCAAAACGATTGATTTTGTTTTATGCTGACAATGGACAGCTGACGGCAAGGCCCCTTGCAAGATGACGGTTCCCGAGACCCCGCATGTATGCTTATACGTTTACACAAAAGAGTCACGGGTGTCAAACAGGACTCGGAATAAATACTTATCCATGAACCTAGATCCGGATGAGTATAAACTCGGACATTGTTCCGTGCCACCCAGATTCTAACGATGGGATCATTCTTATACTTACAACTGTAAATTTAGCTACATAACCTTTTGACTCAAGTCCGTAAATTTTCTCAATACCCAGCCTATGGTTCGATTCGTGGCGAGGTCTATTTACGGGCAACAGAGAAAAGTAACCTGTGTTAGTCTCAGGTACCCTGGCGATTTTCCAAACAAACAAATAGACATAAGATTCCTCTTCATTGCTTCATTTTTCATAATGACAGGCCAGGTCCTCGGTGAGATGAATAGGAGAAGATCTGGGGAAAGGAAAGAAAGTGTGAAGAGGGGAGCGAGCGTGGCCCCTCGCGGTGGTCAAGTATTTGTCTAGGAGCGCGGCAGCTCCCAGGAACGGTCTAGGCGATCCTAACACCGAACCGACCGTGCCGTATGTCAGGGATGTACATGAGACATACACGCTAAGCGGAGGACACGGACCCACTCGGCGCATCTGGGTTCCCCTGAACGCGAGGAAGCTATCTTTCTTTTGCTTTCTCGCGCTGCGTCTTGTATCTATGTGGTGCACATGGGTCTAGCGTAGCACCGATTGGCTCATTATTCCTTGGCAGATATCGTTGTATTAGTAGTATCCAATGATAGCATTAATATTGACGACCCATGGGCTCCTGGGAGCCACGGCCAGCTATCAACCAATCATTTTACGGAAGACTTTTCCGTATGTGGGTTCTTCATGGCACTAATTGGCTCATATTCCTTGTAGTCCCCACCTTCCCGTGTCCACTTCGTTCCCAGGAGATTGATGAGGGTATTGGCATACGCAAAGCCGAAAGAAAATTGTTCGACGGCAACGTAATCGACGGAATTACTCACTCAGTATATGAATTTATCACTCTGTCTCTCTGGCATATCTCCAAGGCTTACCAATCGAAGCCCATCGCCTAATTTGCAATGAAGAGTTTCATGTACATCCTTGGAATCAGGTTAGGTGATAATTATTTCAAATGGTCAATCCGAACCACTCATACTGTAGGTCTCAATAATGAGGGGCTCGTAGATGAAGAAGGATGCGTGTTAAATAACTGAAAGCCTTAGTTTGAGCTTGGCTCAACGGGCCACATATGTTATTTTGCAACTAATGGTTTGAGAATCGAGGTTTTGTAGGATTCAAGACAAAAGGGCGTGTCGGGCTGCTACTCCATGTACACAAAAGGCCCGCTTACCTCCTTTCTGTCGTCGAAGTGCGGATATTCGATTTACCCTTATCACACAGCATAATGAAGCAGAAATTTCATCCGGGCTGAAGCTATCTGTCAATCCTTAAGCTTCTGAAAGTTTAAAAAGCCATAGCCTGTATCTGCTTGATATTTATAGAAGGTATGATAATTTATTCTGATACATATCAAGAAACCACCTGAATGAAGATGAGAAATTCTGCAGATGGGCTGGTAAGGAGCTAGAGGCAAAATAGCTTGACCTTTTTATAATGTTGATGGGGCGTTCTTTGAGTAAAAGAACGCGCTCATCATCGGCGAGTGAGCATCGGTGAGTAAGATGAAATAGCATAATCAGTGCCCCCCCGCGCGTCGCAATAACGTACGGAATGATGGTGGTGAATGTTGAAATGCGTCCTCGATGCTTTCCTGCAGCATTCCCACGACTGTTCAAATGGTGCCAACAGTGAGAAAAGGGTTTTCACATACTTGGTCTCTGAATAAAAAATGCAATGCCTCTGAGAGCTGCAATAAACTAATGATGAAGTGTTGAGCCAATTATAATTGGAGATTATCTCGTGTTTGAGCCCTCAGAAATTACAATTATCATTGCATCGACGCAAGCAAAATGACTGGCTAAAATGCTATGAAAACCCCATCCCTCTTCAGCAGAACAGTCGTTTCCAAGTACTGTACAGTAAGTCAAAATTAGAGGTCCGAGTGCCTTCGCTAATCACGATCGGTAGAGTTCATAGAGGTTTTGTTCCCCATGCTAGGACTGACTTTGGTTCCTATCCCTTTTCGAGCGCAACATATGATCCTCCAAACCCTGCAACGCCACCTCGAGCATTCCGCCTTCCAATTTGTTCAAAAATGGCTTCTACCACAGTCTTTGGCTGTTGGTTGGACATGCCCCGAGGCACTGGAGATGCACAAGTTCTTCAAACTCTTAACCAGACATCGATGGAAGATCTCGTCTGAGAAACATCGTGAAAATATCACCACTGTTCAGAACCTGCGCCATTCAATCGTCAGCATTCGTCACGCCGCTGTACATCGCTTGGCCAAAGATAGAGATAGTCTGCTTGAGATGAATTGTGGTGCCATTGAATTCTGCCTTCGCATCGGCGACGACTATAGCGCAGAGAGTCTCTGTCGTCTCCTTGATTTTCTACAGAAAACCCTCTCGAAGTCAAGCATGGTGCAAGTGCAGCCACAGCAGGCTGTTTTCTCTCATCCTCGTTTATCCAAGCTCTCTCTCCGCACAAGACTACAAGAACGATCGATAACACCCCCGGACGTGATAAAGAGACTCATTGGATGCATCGCGGAGGACTTGATCTCAGAGGTTGCTCATTTTTTGCGGATTGAGTTTCCGTGAGGCGTGGTGCGTGGGCTGGTCCGATTTATGTTCGGGACCTTATTGAATTGCGGCATGTACAGAAGCGTCCGTCATACGCTTCCATGCTACGAACAGAGACATGTTCTTTCAGACCCTAATCACATGACACAGGGTACAACCCGTTCTGTACATACTCGTAATAATACCGAATCCTTTTTGATAGATTGTAAGACGGATACAACAGCCTAAATTAGAAGCCTGGAACTCCTAGAAAGTTCAGGGCAAATACAACAAACAGCAAAAGCCTGGAAAAGTGTCGACTTCTCCCTTCTGCATCTGCAGTTGACTTACTGCAGCGCTTCATGCTCCCGAGAGGTCCATCTCGGGCTTAGAGTTTGGTAGCGAACCAGCTTCCGCTCTTTTGATTGCTCTTCTTTCGGGCGCCACTGCCAAAATCCTAGCACGAATATGTATTCCGGGGCTCAATAAATTACTCAATCATGAGAGAGTTAATCGGTGATTGTGAGTAGATGGTGTGCCGGAGTGTCGGTGTAACGGCATGAGGCTTCTCGGAGTTGTGTCACGTGTCATAGCACGTGACCCAGGCACCCATTCCTGTATGAGAGCTTCCCTCTCTTCTTTCTTTCCTTAGCTTATTACTTTCGTTCAATACTACTGCTTCATTTTCTGATCCATCTGAGTTCTTACAGTCGGAGTGTTGATGGTGTGGATTTGTTGATGGTGAGGGCCGAAGGTGAGTGACGGTTGAGAGTTGGTGATGATGGTGATGATGGGGATCGGACTAGTGAATCGTGAATCAACATGTTGATGGGCAGTTCTGTATGGCGCCCGGGCGGTGAAGTGGCGGCCAACGGTAAACCATCGCCGTCATAGTGGGGATCTTTGTTCCCTCACGAATGCAAAAGATAATAAACAGTGCGAAATGATGAGTTCTAAATATTAGTTTCCATATGGTAGTACATACTTCGGTCGCTCTTCTATTTGACATTCTCTCGGCTCGAGCTTCATCGCGTACTCTTTGGCGATATTCTGTGTCTGAGGTAGTCTCGCTATATGTCAGCTTGTTATATATCTCCTTATACAAGTGCTATTATGTACACTATCGGCGATAAAATCGGGAACGAATCACTAGAATAACAGCGATAGAAAGCTTGATTCTTCCGAACATACTTCAGTTATCATTTTGTGTCGGCCTGATCAATGAAAGACACTTTTGAAGCGGAAAGCGCCGATCTTGCTGGATATGTTCCCGGAGGAACGGCAATATGATTATTTTGAAAAATCGAAGTTATAATGAAGCAAAATTCGAGCGGCGGCACGTCTCCTTGTGTGGTCTCATGGAATTTGCTGCATTAGCTTTCTAATAACGACCCGGGTTCGATTCTTGCAGGATACGTTCAGATGACCCTTCACCAGAAAGACGGATCAAAACCTGCTTGATTTTCCGTGTCATTTCGCGTTTTCTACGGTTGATCTTACCTCTTGGCTACTTCGTGATTATAATGAAACCACGTTTCATAGTCGCTTGAGCATGCCGGATCAAGGCAAATGTGACATGCCCGCACTAACAGAAGCATGACGGCTACGTTCGAAGTCAACAAGTACGTATTTTCCACCAAGTATCAGAAACCGACCCAGCATCTATCGAGTAGTAATTGTGCAATTGTAATCATCGTGGGAATCGGCTAGCTGTAATTTGCGAGGCTCTTCTGCTGGCGAGTTTGTGGCATTCGCTGATGTCATCGAGGAGGGCTGCATTTGGGAGGAAACAGTCATCTTCATATCAGCGATTTGGCAACATGGAATACCCCAAACTTGCAGTGATGAGAACGCGTCGCTTGCTTCGTTCCTAAAGGGGGTTATGGTCGTAGCTTGGTATTGGTGTCTGTACTGGGACACGGCAAAAGGAATTTGCCGAGGGATATACTCAATCTAGCAGCCGTTGTCAGATGCTGGGATATGATCAATCTAGCTGCTAGCTCAATATGAGTGTTCGCAACTCACCGGGCTCGCGGTCTAGATGAAATCCCCTTATACCAGCCCACAAACAATCCTCCGATTAGATCCGTGGGAGCGGCCGAACCACGGGTTTCTCACTACCTCTTTGGATTAGCAGGCTTTCAGGCGATGGGGGTGGTACTGACTTACTGTAGTGTAGTCTGGTATCACCATGGGAAGACCAGAGACGAGGTAGCAGCCTCGGCTCGGTTACACGTCAGAGGGCACGGGAATGCTCCGTACAGCAGCGATGATAGGGTTATATCTGCCAATGCATATCTCTAGGCAAACTTCCAGCTGTGTCTGTGAAAGGTATGACCGGAAAGGAGAGTCATGGTATGTTGTTTTGAGGAGGGTGGGAACTGACCTGAAGATGACTGCTCTCGTGAAGAGAGATTCAGGGTAGATCCAGTGCTGTGGCCCACAATGTCGCTTGCTCGGCTACGACCAGGGCCTGACAGAGCTGGCCCTCATACTGTGGCCAAAAGCTCAACTCAATTCAGATTGACGCTTTTCTTAGAAAGACCGTGGCCTTTCTCGGTGGTCGCTGATGCTCTGCTTCTCTTCGTTGTAGCTGGATGCTCTCAGTCGTCCTGGCTTCAGATCGGACGTGGGACAAGAGATTCCTAGCCATCGGGATACAGAAGCTCATATAGTGAGTCAATGTTTGGTCAAGTAGGATGAAGCTGGAAGAGATGAAAACATGTCGGAACCCTACCATATCCTATTCGAAGGGGAATGAGACCCCCTGGATTTTTTCCGCTAACACAAGAAAAATGGAAGCTTCCAGTATGTGTCTTGAAATAGCGAATTAGAGACTCATTGAGAGGCAGTGACCCGGCCAGTCGTACATTCTTGGTTTGAGGACGATGGGGAAGTGCGGCTCGGTCGTGGCGAGGGCCATCTTGGCCTTTTTCCTATGACTACCCAGACGTATCAGCAATCTCTTCTAACGGAAAGAGGGAACGACGATATGAACTCAAGCAAACAATGTCCGCACAGAGATCCAAAAGGAGCCCCGGCTATGGTACTAGGCAGAGGTAACGTACCAAGGTGACCTACAAGATATTGAGCGGCTCGCGATGGAAAGTCTGCCTTTCTATACAGTGAGTTGTCAGCAAAGGATAACTATTCTCAAATTGCCGCAATGATAAAAACTTACGTTATCAGATGTTTCCATTCGATGTATCCGGGAAGACTAAATGGCTGTATAAGGATTATTTATCTTTAGTAGGTAGCTGATGAAGACAACTTATAACTCACCGTGCTTGTAGCTTTGATAATCTTCGATATCATGCAAGGTCCGTCAAATGTTCGTAGAGGAATAGTAGAGGAGGGCTGATCTTGAGCATATTTCATGTCAGCATGATTCCCAATGACTGAGCAGCTAATTTCACTTACTGCTCGAAGATTTCCGTTTTGACAAGAACAGGCTAGTGCGATACAACAGGTCAACTTAGTCACGATTGCATGGAATGCGGGGTCAGCCCATACCAAAGAGGAGTTGGTAGACGAAAAGTGTTCGAAATTCTTTGATCCGATGTGACAAAGGAATATTTGCCAACGACTGACTGTTCTACGGGCGAAGGATCGGTTGATTATAGGATTGCAGCCAGTCATTTGCTTGCGACGATGCAATGACAATTGTAAATTGTGAGGGCAGAAACAAAGACGACCTTGTCACTGCAGCTGGTTCAACATTTTATCGTTGATTCAACGTAGGACTCAAGAGGTATTGTATTTTTCCTAGTGAAGCAGCGTATGAAAAAGCTTTTCTCAAGTCTGGCCGCGTTCAAGCAGTCGTGGTAATGCCGCAAAAAAGCATCGATAATGTGTTTCAACCTTTACCACCATGGACTCGAATGTAATTGTGACGGGTTAGGTCGCAACATGCCATTTCATTTCACTCACCGATGATGAGAGCGGTATTTTACACAAAGAACGCCTCATCGAAATTAAACAAAAATCAAGCCATATTGCACCTCTGGTTACCTACTGGCATAGCTGCGTTTTTTTCATATTCATTCAGCATTAATACCTACTTCATGAGATCACAGTAAGCTTTATCACATCCTTTACAAGATATCAAGCATATATAGACCATGATGCAAGGTGGCAGTGATATGCACAGCATCTATCTCACAAGAAATGACTTTGCTCTCTCCCCTGCTCTTGCTAACTCTCCTTTCTTACGCTTTTAGAAGCTCTGGAGAATTGAGAAATAGCTTTAGCACCGATAGAACTGCTGCTTGGAAATGGTTGGGATTGTGATAAATCAAGTTTCTACTCTTCATTTTCAACATTCGACGATAGTGCTTTAAGTAGCAGCTTATGCGTCGTTTAATCTTGGCCCCCACAAACCCTCGATTCTCAAATCATTACAGTCCAGTAATTGGGAAAACACATATGTGCTAGACTTAATTAACTCGGCCCACGTCCTAGGCCATCTAGCACACATCGCTCTTTACCTACGAGCCCCTAGTCAGTGAGACCTATACCTTAAGTGATTTGGGATTGACCATTTGAAATAATTATCAGCTAACTCGATTCCAAGGATGGACATGGAACTCTTCATTATCATCACGCAATGGGATTTGATTGGCAAGCCTTGGAGATTTGCCAGGGAGGAGGATCATCAATTGATTTCCTGAGCGAGTTATCATGTTGATTACCTTTCCGTAGAAGAATTTTTTCTGCCCTCAGCCTTGTCTTTGCGTAGTGCAATACCCATATCGATTCCCTAGGAACTAAGTGGACACGGGAAGGTGGGTATTACTACAAAGAAATATAGGCCAATCAGTGCCAGGGATGTGCCAGCGCGTAAGTTTTCAGTGAAATTATTGGCTTATATCTGGCAATGGCTCCAAGGGTTGTCAATATTGATGCTATCATTGGACAATACGAATACCAATAATATATGTCAGGACCTGGAATCGGTTATATTGGAGAAATGTAGTATTGTATGCAAAATTGTATTAGTCTGCTTAATTTAGAATACATCAGGAAAACTATTTAACAAAAGATTACGATAACAAAGTATGTTAATTAGCAATGCTAAGCAATAGGATGGTGAAATCCGCTAGTAACGTTACGCTCTGTTGCGATATACCCCCCCTAGACCTGCTTGTTGAAATGTAGGTCTGCAAAACGATCGGATGAATAGTAAGTAAGGCCTTTTAGACTAATTAGAGGTTTGCTTAATTATTATCCTTTTCCTTGTCTGATTAAATATATGATATCTCGTATCCCTAGTAATTTAGCGCTGTGCTTAAATTACCGGTAAGGAAGTACCTTCGCTAGTCTATCAGTAGGTATTGCCGCTGTAGGTACCTATTCGACGTTAATATCTTCCTTTTTCCTTTTAGTATATTGTAATGCTGAAGGATACTTTTGTATCTCCTTCTAGTACTGTAATTGTTTTGAATAATTATCGATATATAGTGGCTCTCGTAAGGTTGGTTCTTTGCCTATATTATAGCTTGCTTAGTTGACTGTAGCTTTATGTAAAATAACTGAGCCTGCGTTAAAAACCCAAAGATCTTCTTTTGAAGTTAACCTCTATAGTACTTTACCTGTAGAGGTACTTAATACTGTATTTTAGAGCCTATTATAGTAAGCTCCTTTGGCTTTTAGTTGAGTTTTAGATACTATATTTAGGTAAAATAAAGGGCAGTATATAACCTCAGTAAGCGTTACCTTATATGGTAAACTGCTTTTAGGGTTGATTAGGTATATTACTGCTTTTCTAACACCTTTATATTGTATACGTCTATTACCGGTTCGGAGATAACTAGGTTTCGGCTTGTACTTAATAAAATGTAAGAATTAATTTGATATATAGTAATTACTACTATAATCAAGAATCTAATAATCCTTAGTGTTAACCTCTGGTTTTGTATTGAATACCCTTTTGGTAGCGAATATAATTTGTGAGACGAATAAACTTTTATTCAACGATGAATTTATAGTATTTATCGTAGGTATAGCAGTGGTTATTGTCAATAGTTGCTTTAATTTATTAAACTTATTAATCTTATTTTTTAACTAATCTCTATATACCTTTGATTCCTTATTCAAAGCATTATTCGTACGCTTTATAGCCTCTTTGTCAGTAGTAATATTATCAGGCTTCGAAGCAGGGTTTAGAAGCTAATACTTCTACGCTAGACTATATTGTTGTTTATATAGGTATATATACTGTTTAAAATCTGATAATACTAGCGAAGCTTTTAGCTGTCCTTATAATATTAAAAAGGCACTGCTATAAGTTACCGTTTATAAAGCAGGCGTCTCTTTAGAAGTTAGTTTGACTATTAAGTCTTAGTTTTGCTTTAGTAACAATAAGAAATCGATAACTTATATTAATATACCCTTAATATACAGCTTATTCTATATCTTTATATAAAAAGCTTTTATCTCTGGTATATTTCTAAGTATATTAAGGATATCCTAGGTTGCTAAGGATAATATCTAGACTGCTCCGGCTTAGACTTATAACTTATATAGAGCCTTAGTTTTTGATACCTACTAGTCTATATTAGTATTTAATTATAGTAAACTATACTGAGCAACCTATTTATCCTATAGGCTTCCGATGTAGGCAGGGTCCTTACTAGATAAAAAGCGTATCTCTAGCTTTTTTAATAGCTTACGAGGCGTCTGATTAATTACTATAAACTAAAATATTAGCAGTATGTGTTACACGTAGCTAACTGGTCACAGTGAGTGGTTAGATTGTAGGTTAACAACTTACTAGTTGTTCTCTGTGTTGTTGGTCGTACGTGCTATCTATCACTCGTACTCCTTAAGTATCGGCTTACAGTCGTACCGTCACTGTGCTAAGTCTTATACGGACTCAGACCCTGTTGAGTAACTTCGAAGGAGGCGCCAGGTAGTATACTAAGTAGGTCAGTCCGAAGAGCTTCCCTACTTATAGTATGTTTGTCACAAGAGATAAAACTGAATAAAGTACAATCTAAAGAGTATACTGTAGTAACTTAGATTAATTAATCGCGAAGAACTAAATATATATGCGTAAGGGAGTGTCCTTATATATCTAATCCTCTGTAGTATAGTATACTAGAAGGTACATCTGGTAGTATACCAGATCGTATTCTTCTATCTACCCGTTAGTATACCCTCTGGTATACCCTCATAGTCACGTACGGGTTCGTAGGTTCCTGTGTTCCAGGCGTAACCCTGGGACGTATGAAAGCGTAGCCATTTCCTGTACTAGGTTGGCCACGTAGGTCCTTACTAGGTACTTATACTTATAGCGTAGTATAGGTAATGGTAGAAAGAACGCTAGTTTGTACGTCGCGCTAACTGTTATATTACCTAATAGAGTATAGTTCGTGACGGTGAACAGGAGGCTGTTTTCCGCTCCCTTTGTCTGCCTTTCTGTCTGGTCGTGCACGTAACTCAGGGTTGTGCCTGGCCCCTGCGGGTTGGTTGGCTCTCGGTGGCCCATCAGTAAGTTGCGGCCCCTTATGTCGCTAGGTCCGTAACAGTACGCAGCTTTCTATAAAGCCTTTTACGATACTTAACGCCTTGTTCTGATTATAATACTTCTTTTTACGCTGCTTATAATTATAATCCTCGTCTCTTAGCACCGTATATACGTCCTTTACAGTTATTCCCTTCTATATTAGATCTGATTATACTGCTATAGTACTTCGCTATGTTGTATAAACCCTCGGTTTAGGTTTGGAGAGGACGTAGGTATTAGCCTTTTTGTTGTTGATCTTTAGATTAAGGATATTCTATATATTTAAAGCTGTTGCTCTTGATTGTAGGGATAAATAAAAGAATGCCTATTTTGTTTTGTCTGATAGTATAAGGGAGCTACTGCCTGAGACTGTGTAGATATCTATTGTATTTAGTGATAATTTGTATATAATTATAATTCTTATTGTAATATAATTATCGGTTTTGTAGGGTTTTGTATCGGAGTTGGTCCCTTAATACGTCGGGGTTGTGGTGGATTTAGGGGTAACTGTCTACACCCTTAGATTTATTGATTTTATGTTGATTTGTGCGGTAATCGAACGGTTGTATAGCTTAAATAGCTTTAGAATTACCTATTGCAGTAGGCGAACCGGGCTTATAACTGTCAGGACCTGGAATCGGTTATATTGGAGAAATGTAGTATTGTATGGAAAATTGTATCAGTCTGCTTAATTTAGAATACATTAGGAAAACTATTTAACAAAAGATTACGATGACAAAGCATGTTAATCAGCAATGCCAAGCAATGGGATGGTGAAATCCGCTAGTAACGTTACGCTCTGTCGCGATAATATATGCCAAGAAACGATCAGCCAATCAGTGCTATGAATGACCCATGTGCATTACATAGCCTCAGTAATCCAAAAATCCCAGGGTTAGACCTGTTTGGGATAGCCTAAGGCGACCAGGGGCTGCGGGCTGCGGACGGCGATTTTCAGCGCTGTCCCTGTGAGGATTTAATTCATTGGCATATCGGCCTGCTGAATATGTGGGTCCGCCACGTCTCGCAGGTTCTCATCGTGTCACCCTATGAAAGGTCTAGTGTGAGATCGAGATTTCAGTTCAACTTTTTGCAATACCACAGGAACCTTCCTGGGTATCCAGATATACTCGTAGGATAGCCAAAATTGTTTGTGCAGGAGCCAGACAGTAGGCTTGGATTTCTCCAGAGAGTCAGAAACCCACGATTGGGGTGTCGGCCACGTTCACACTCGGAGAGCTGCTGGCACATGAGAGTTAAGGATTGTCTTGGCTTGGCTTTCCTCCAACTCCACGATTCCGCGGCTCGGCTACTTCATTCGTTCCGTGGGTTTTTGTTCTCATGCGATGTAACCTTCTCATATCCGTCAGCTCACCTAACAGACCAGTATGAAGCCAAAGGATTTCTCTTAGGGAGCTGGAACACACAGTTTCCGACACATGTCCAATGGCAAAGCTTTAGCCCGCAACTACGGGAGCATAGCGCGTTTCTTTTCCCACCTTTGCCAAGTTTTGGAAACTAGGCCATTTTGACTGGTTACCGCGGAATTTAAATATGCCTCCGCTGATAATACATGCCTTACGAATTATAAAGGGGAGGCGTTATTACTTCTTCACCCGCTCAAACAGGCAGCAGACACAGGATCTTTTTCGAAAGGCAACATTGAAAGAAGCGCACGTGAATGAGAAAATGGCCGATACCACCCCCCCTAGACACCGTCCACCATGTCGAAATCAGCGAAAATTGGAGCGATATCCAAAATTTTTGTAGCCTCAGCCAGCAACCGGCATCGAGGTTTTGGGCTGTTGTATGGTCTATAACACTGAAGCGGTATTTCGATCAGGGTGTGGTTTATTTCACGATGCCGGAACATGCATCGGTGGCCGGGGGAACCCAAAGAGGAGGGATTCATCGGGCTGCCTTGTCTGTAGACATGACAATTCAAGACCTCTTTAACAACACGACCATCATAGGCCTTGTGGAAGATGTCCCTGAAGATCAGAAGGATGATCAAACGGGCCTTTGGCTGATTCCAAACCAATCAAATGGGTCGTCCCCACCATCATCACTCAATCCAGACCTCGAGGGATGCAGACTGGTCTTGGTGGTTCGCCTAAAAGAAAACGCGGCAACCTTGGAACTACATTATCGACGTCCCGGTCAGCTGGAGTACCAGGGACAGCACCTTGCAAACGCTGTGGCGCAGGTGGCGCAAGGTCTCGCAACCGGCCAGGGAGGAAAAGTTAGGGACATCGAGCTCGGCAATATGAGTAATATCATGGAATGGTGCATTCGTCGCCAAATCAAATACAACAGGCTTCGCTTGTCAACATTTATTGATGTCTTTCGCCAGCGGTGTAATGAAAGCCCTGATGCTCCAGCGGTTTGCGCGTGGGATGGTGAGCTGACATACTGTCAGCTGGATGGTATCACTGACCGCTTTGCGAACGATCTGCGAAAGTTAGGAGTTGGTGTTGGATCTCTGGTGCCGATATGCTTCGAAAAGTCAATGTATGCTATCGTGGCCGAGCTCAGTATCTTGAAAGCAGGCGGTGCGTTTGTTCCGCTTGACCCGGCACATCAAGAGTCTCGATTCCGACACATCTTGAAACAAATCAGTGCATCCGCCATTGTTACTTCCACTACGCTGGCCCCACAGATGTCAACCTTTGCGCTGCCATTGATCACTTACTCTCCAGAAATGATACTCAGCAGTGATACGGTGGATATCTCACCCAGTCCACTGGCCTCACCCGATTCCCAGGAAACAGCATATATTGTGTTCAGTTCTGGTAGCACCGGACAATCTTCGGGATGCGTTATGACACATAGCTCCCTCGTTGATGTTGCTCATCAATGGGAAGCTTTACATCTCACTGCCACGAGCCGGGTCCTACAGTTCGCTTCCTACACCTTTGCCATGTCAGTAGTTCAAATATTCTGCACTTTAGCGGCGGGGGCTACAATCTGCATCCCATCAGACGAGGATCGTCAAAATCGTCTAGCTGAATATATGAATGAAACGAGAATAAATTGGGCTTTCCTCACCCCATCAACGCTGAATGCAATTCACGATCCAAATCTGCTCCCATCACTCAAGACCCTAATTCTGGCCGGGGAACCAATGGGCAGGCACCACTTGCAGATATGGGTAGACCGGGTTGAGTTGTACGAACTATACGGGCTCAGCGAGTATACTGGATTCGTTGCTATTTCGGCCCGGGTCACTCTGCAATGTGCAGATTCCAGTACTGCTCGAAGTTTTGGCCTCTCCTCGCCGACGGCCAGGGTGTGGCTAGCCGACCCTATCGACCATAACCGACTAATGCCTGTTGGGGCGGTTGCTGAGCTTCTTCTTGAGGGACCGGGCCTAGCACGAGAATATCTCAATGATTCCACTAAGACGGCAGGGCGATTTATTAAGTCTCCTGCATGGCTTCGTGGCGACGGGCGCCGGGTGTATACAACAGGCGACCTCGTCCAATACCTTGCAGACGGAAGCTTTCGCTATATTGGGCGTAAAGACTTCCAGACGAAAATTCGTGGAATGAAGGTTGACTTGGCAGATATGGAATACCAAATTTCTCAACATTGTCCTTCCGTCACCCGTGCGATTGCTGAAGCGGTTTTACCCGATGACTCGGACGCGGCATCAGTCCTGGCGGTCTTTTTGCATTATGGAAATCTATTACCAGTCACCAGTGGGGTGAAAGAAGAGAACTTGTTTAAGGCGCCGAGCAGCTGGTACACGCAGTTTAAATTGGATGTCAGCCGCTTGAAGGCGGAGCTGCCGGGGTCTTTGAGTCAGCCTATCATACCAAGTATATATCTTCCCATAACAAACATACCACTAACCATGACGGGGAAGATTGACCGGCGTCGCATAAGAGAGATTATTAGTAAGACTAGCTGGTTTCAGCTACAAAAATATGCCGACCAAAGAGTTAAACATGTCCGACCGCACACTGCCGCGGAGGCCACTCTGCACACTTTACTCACACAGGTGCTTCAGATTCAATCAGATACATTCGGAGTACATGATAATTTTCTGCATCATGGAGGAGACTCGGTCAAGGCAATGCATCTTGCACGCCTATGTCGGCAGCAGGGCCTGTCATCAGTCACATTTAAGGACATCATGGAGTTCCCAACCATCAGACAACTTTTGTCCAAACCAAACAAGGAACTCTACGTGGAATCTACACCCTCGACGGTCGAATCGAGATCTAATATATTTATTCAACCAAATGATACTCTACAGCAACTCATAGCAGAGAGACTTCGTGTGTTGGAACTTCCGGAGGACACCAAGGTCGAGGCTATATACCCATGCTCTCATGTCCAAGAGGGGATCCTCATGAGTCAAGTCCATTGTCCGACTATCTATTTAATCCAAGCGACCTACAGCATGGTGACAACGGCACATAATGGTCAGCCAATTGATACTGATCGACTCAAGAACGCCTGGAAAGAGCTGGTTAGAATGCATCCAATGCTGCGCACAATTTTTATCAATAGCACAGTACCAGATCTATTTGCACTGCAGGCTGTCCTCGCTGAAGAAGTGTGTGAGCTGTCGATTGTGCAATGTGACAATTTGCCTTGCGAACCAACTCTTTGCAATAAAAAACTAGAGCCAGTCAAATCCATCTGGTCATCAATTCCGCGGATGACTATCAAGCAAGACAGCCTGGGTCGGGTTTCTCTAGGGCTCGACATCAATCATGCAATCACTGACGCAACCTCTATGTCAATCATTACGCGTGACCTGATCCGATTGTATTGCCAAGGGGAGGAGATGGACTCCGGCAGTCTTCCTCCTAGACTACTCTATTCGGACTATATCGATCATCTGAGAAAAGAATCGACTCCATCTACACTGGAATTCTGGAAATCCTACTTGCTTGATGTAGAGCCTTGCCTATTTCCACAGCTGAACACGCATTCTCACACCATGAATGACGACTCACGCTGGCAGAATTTGCCGATTGATCTTGACCATGAGAGCAGATACCATGAATTCTGCTCAGCCACCGGAATGACAATTGTTAGTATCTTCAAACTGGCATGGGGCCTTGTGCTCTCTAGCTTCACGGCATCCCGCACTGTGTGCTTTGGATATATGACTTCCGGTCGAGATCTGCCACTGGCTGGGATTGAGCATGCAGTCGGACCGTTCATCAATGCACTTCCTTGTGCTTTCAAAATACCATTAGAGAAATCTTCATTGGAGATACTTCAAGCATTACAGGAAGACTTTACCAATGCTATTCCCCATCAACGGGCGTCGTTAGTTGCCGTTCAACATTCTGTTAGCCTCGCCGGTGGTAACTCTCTCTTCAATACTTCGCTCACTTTCCCACCCCAGATAGACTCCGACGATGAGCGCGAGATCCAGCTTACTGAAATAGACCGTTGCGATCCGACCGAGAATGAGATCGTCGTGGAGGTCACTGTCCGAAACAAAAAGATCGGGGCGAACTTCAAGTATTGGACTCGCAGCCTTTCTGAAAAGCAGGCCAAGAATGTCATCAATACTTTGCGACGCACTCTCTCACAGATTATGAATAATCCCCAAAAAAGGCCATCCGAGATGAAGCTCATCAGCTTAGAGGATGAAGCGATGCTTCACAGTCTGAATTCGACTCTACCACCACCCCCCGATGTTTGCGTCCATACCCTTATTGAGCAGCAATGCATAAATCAACCAGAAGCGGAGGCCATCTGTAGCTGGGATCGGACTATTTCCTATGGCCAGCTACTGGAGCTGTCAGAAAGCTTAGCGTTCCAACTGATTAAGAGAGGCGTCAGACGAGGCACCTACATACCACTATGTCTATCGAGAAGCTACCTGACACCAGTTGCAATGCTTGCTGTCATGAGGGCAGGTGCTTCCTTTTGTCTGCTTGATGTGTCCCACCCCCTACCCCGGCTACAATTCATTTGTGGAATGCTACAGTCCCCGATCGTTATTACTTCTACCGCACACCGTAGCCTGGCTGAAAACCTCGGTGGAAAAGAAGTCTTCTTGGTTGACAACGCGATAGACGATAACATGGACCTGCATGTTGGCTTGGATCGAGGAAATATCGCTGATCCTAATGACCCCCTCTTTGTTGTATTCACCTCCGGGTCGACGGGTGAGCCCAAAGGCATAATTATTGAGCATCTTTCTTATGCCTCAAGTGCCGCTGAGCATGCTGAAAGACTCGGGCTATCTCAAAACTCTCGGATGCTTCAGATATCGGGATATGCCTTCGATGCCGCTGTGCTGGAGCACTTGACGGTTCTACTCACTGGAGGCTGTGTGTGTATACCGTCAGAATCGGAGCGGTTCAATCACCCAGGAGAGGTGGCAGCGCGAATGAGAGTCGATACCATACTAACAACGCCGTCAATGGCAAGGGTACTCAGCCCCGGCGATCTGCCCTGTCTACGAACCTTGGCTTTATGTGGGGAATCCATGGACCAGTCCGACATTGATAAATGGACCCCAGCAGTGCGCCTGGCTAATGTATATGGCCCCGCCGAATGCACGGTAATATCTACAATCCAACCATCTCAACAGGGCAAGATCCCTCGCAATATTGGATCTCCAATCGCATTTTCCGCCTGGATTACTATGCCAGACGACCCAAGCCAACTCTTGCCAGTAGGTGCTGTCGGCGAACTTCTTATTGAAGGCCCAATTGTGGGCCGTGGATATATCAACAATCCAGAACAGACCGCCATCACATTTATTGAGGCCCCTGCCTGGCTTAAAAATTTTCGTGGAAACTCAGTTTCACCTCACAGCCGACGGGTGTATCGCACTGGCGACTTAGTATCTTATGAACAGAAAGATCGCTCTCTCCAGTATGTGGGCCGGAAGGACACGCAGATCAAGCTTCGTGGACAAAGAATTGAGCTTTCCGAGGTTGAAAATCATGTTCGTCGCCAGTTCCGTGGTGTCCGTGCGGTGGTTGTGGATATGGTGCGACGTGAGAAGTCCGCATCGCTTGTAGCTTTTCTGCTACATGCCGAGATCCTTCCACCTGTACGTACGTTTGATGGCAGCCCTTCGATCTTTGATCTTCCAAATGAGGATTTTCACCGGGGAGTCACCAGTTCCCTTGGCCAGCTGCAGAGGGACCTACCTCCATACATGGTCCCTGCAGCTTACGTCCCTGTGTCGGAGCTGCCAATGACAAAAACAGGAAAACTTGACCGACGTAGATTGGTGGAGGAGATGAGCAAGCTGCCGAACGACGTGTTTCAGCGACTACTTGGTGGAGCTCTGGGCTCCAAGACAGCACCGTCCTCAGATCGCGAGAGTCTTTTGCAGCAAATCTGGGCATCAACGTTGAACGTCCCGCCCGAGCAGATCGGGATGCAAGATCGATTCTTTTCGCTCGGCGGTGATTCTGCTTCCGCGATCCAAGCTGTGTCTCATTGCCGAACCTCAGGCTTGCTTGTTAATGCGGTGGATATGATGCGAAATCCAACCATTGCAGCCTTAGCACCTATCGTCCAAGATGTTGATCGGGAAGCAAGATTGGAAGGCACGATAGCACCATTTTTCCTTATGGACAGCATGAACGAGCGTAATGCTGTCTTGGAGACCATAGAGCGAGCTTGTGGAATCGACCCAAGTCAAATTGAAGATGCCTATCCATGTACTTCACTACAGGAAGGTCTGATCGCTCTCACGGCCAAGGTGAAAGCTGCATACATCGCCGAATTCAAATTTCACTTGCCTCCTGAAACTGATATAGCTCGTCTGGAGTTAGCGTGGAAGGCGACAGTCGCTGCGAATCCCATCTTGCGCACGAGGATCATCCAGTTGCCTGGGAAATCTCAATGCTACCAGGTTGTTGTGCAGGAAATTGCCCCTTGGGTTGTGTACGATGGCGCCCAGGCCTACAAAGACACCATGAAATTGGAGCTTGGCTTAAATAAACCCCTTGTTCAGATGGGAGTGGTAGTCTCAGGGAGTCAGACTTCGCTTATTTTACGCCTTCACCATTCGATATATGACGGCTGGTCCTTGCCCTTGGTGCTGGAACAGGTCCAACGCGTCTATAACGGGGAGACTCTCACATATAACCCCATGAACCAACTGATTGAGTATGTAATGGGACAGCGCGCACAAGCATCGGAATTCTGGAAGTCGGAATTGGCGGACTTGAATCTGGCGGTGTTCCCACCCCTACCTAACGCTGGCTACCAGCCGACACCAGATTCAACGCTCACCCGTACGGTGCCTATCGAGCTGATGATGGATAGCTCATTCAGTCTGGCCACGAGATTGTATCTTGCATGTGCGCTCGTTCTTTCTCAGTACAGTGGTAGCCGTGATGTGGTCTTCGGAATAACCAGATCGGGAAGAGAAGCCCCTGTGCCTGGTGTTGAAAAATTGACGGGGCCCACGAATGTGACCGTCCCGCAGCACGTCATAATTCTTCCAGACCGAACGGTCAGGGAGAGCCTCCAGGATTTACAGAATAACCACGCACGCATGGTCCCTTATGAGCAATTTGGCTTGCAGAATATTGCTCGATGTGGTGATTCCCATGCTGCGGCATGTGCATTCCAGACTTTGATGGTAATTCAGCCTCGCCTTCGAAAAGAACACCGAGGTAGTTTATGGTATGATCAGACCGTCGTAACTGATCTCTCCGCCTTCACTGGATACCTTCTTTTGCTAGATTGCCAGTTGCTCGATCAAGCTGTTGAGATCCGAGCCGGCTTCGATTCAGCGGCGGTTCCTCGAGCACAAGTCGAGCAGATCCTGCTCCAGTTCGACCATGTTTTGGGGCAAATTAATAAGCCAGGAGCTTTTAACTTGCAATTTAAAGATCTCCAACAGCTCCACCTGAAGGATATGGCGACGCTTGTCTCGTGGAATACGCCGAGGGATCCTGTACCAACTGAGGAATGCGTCCATCACGTAATCCAGACACAGTTTGATAAGCAGCCCAATTCGCCCGCTGTTTGTGCATGGGATGGTACTTTTGACTATTATGAACTCGACAGGCTGTCATACAGGCTGTCGAGGTACATCCAGTCCTGTGGTGTTGCTCCAGAGACTGTAGTGCCCGTATACTCGGAGAAATCCCGATGGGTTACAGTCGCAATTCTCGGCGTCGTAAGAGCGGGTGGAGCATTCGTTTTGTTAGACCCGACCCACCCTCTCGATCGCCTTGAGCAGATTTGCCAACAGACGTGCGCAAAATTGATTGTGGCCTCCGAAGAATACAGGCAAAGTGCCCAAAGTTTGCTCCCGAATGGGACGGTGATCACTGTAGGACATTCGAACTCAATGACTTGGAAAACTCAGGAACCGAAAATGAACAAAACCGTACCACCCACTGAATTGCTGACCCCACGGAGCTTGCTTTATGTTGTGTTCACTTCGGGCACAACTGGAAAGCCGAAAGGGGCAATGATTGAGCATCGATCGTGCCACATGAGTGCAATGGGTCTCGGTCGCCAGTTTGGCATGGGAACTCACTCCAGAACTCTACAGTTCTCGTCACACGCATTTGATATAAGTGTATGGGACCATATTGGGACCCTAATGATGGGAGGGTGCGTGTGTATCCCCTCCGAATCTCAGAGGAGGAATAATTTGTCGCAGGTGACTGCAGAAATGCGGGCCAATATAGCAGTTTTAACGCCATCAGTTGCGCGCACTTTGAACGGCCCCAAAATATCTGCTACACTCCAAACTTTAGTGTTGGCTGGCGAATCAATGGCAGCTGAGGATAGATCTACGTGGTCCAGGTTGCATCTGATTAACGGCTACGGCCCCGCAGAGTGCGCCGGGATCACCACTGTTCAACCTGTCGTTAGGATGCAGACCGATCCCCACAATATTGGCCGACCGAATGATGGCTTTTCCATCTGGATTACTCATCCAGATAATCCTCACCAGCTGTTACCTATTGGGGCGGTAGGGAGAGTAGTCGTTGAGGGCGCTACCATCGGGCGTGGCTACTTATATGATACGGAAAGAACCGCAGAATCGTTCATAACCCAGCCAACTTGGTTACGAAATCTTCGAGATAAGTCTATGGCTAGTGATGGTCGATTGTACAGAACAGGAGATATGGGCCAGTACCAGCCGGATGGGTCAATCTTGTTCCTCGGGCGGAGGGACGAACAGGTGAAGATCCGGGGTCAGAGAGTCGAACTGCCGGAAATTGAGCACTATGTTAGCCAACAATTCAATGATAATCCGAAGGTAATTGCACTCGTTGCGAAAAACAGCCGGCGACAGACCTTGGTGGCGTTGGTAGCTTGGGAAGGTATCAGGGAAGATGACCAAGATATCCTTGAAGATGATCCAATTTTTCGACAATTAATCCCAGCAGTACGCACAAACCTGGATCGCATATTACCCTCGTACATGGTACCGGCTATTTTCGTGCCTCTTGCTCGGGTGCCATTGACAAAGTCTGGCAAGACGGATAGACGCCTCCTACACCACCAGATATCCAAGCTTTCTCCGAGGGAGCTTGAGAGGTTTGAAGGAGGAGAGAAACCCCATCGAAAACCAAAATCCAGGGCTGAGAGGGTGCTGCAGTTGGTTTTTGCCCGGACTCTCGCCGTGGACAAAGAGAGCGTCAGCGCGGATGATCACTTCTTCAAGATGGGCGGTGATTCAATCACGGCGATAAAACTAGTGACGGAGGCTGCCATGGAGGGCATCTCTTTCACCGTTGCAGACATTTTTGCAAACCCAATTCTCTCTGCTCTTGCAAAATTCGAACAAATTCCTATCTCTAAAGGGGGAAGACTCCACCTTGTCATACTCCGCGGGAAGCCTGCTTGGTATCACTGACGTCCAGGCCTTTGCATCAAGTTTGAATAACCTTCCTCTGCCATTTACCCCGAGTGATGTAGCTGATATTTTACCTGTGACGCCATTCCAAGCCAGCTGCCTGAGGGGAACTCACCTACTCTATCATTGGTTGCAGCTCCCAAGATCAGTCGACATGGACCAACTAGAAGTCGCCTGTCACACTCTCATCCAACATCATGCAATTCTCCGAACTCTTTTCATCCCCCACGGCGATCAATATCTGCAAGTTATCTTGCATGACCCTCGCCTCTCGCTTGTTTATATTGCCTGTGATACTGATATCCACACATTCACCGAATCTCTATGCACACGGGATAGCGTCTGGGCCCAGGCTCTGGGCCCCCCCCTTTTCCAATTATATATCATCACGCAACGTTTAACCCATCAGCGCCGTTTATTGATCAGACTCACCCATGCCCAATATGACGGTACATCTTTCGGCCATCTCCTCAGGGACCTATCTATCGCATACGATGGCAACCGACTTCAGTCATCGACGCCTTCATTTGCCCAATATTTGCACTATAAAAAGCATCGTCAACTGTCCGAAACACGCCAGTTCTGGAAGGAGTACCTGCAAGGCACCTCTATGACTAAACTGGAGCCCAGCCAGTCCAGTGATGAGGAATGGAGTTATGCCGATGGTCCCACAATCAGTGCTGGTCGAGAGATCCCCCTACCACCAAACCAGGAGGGATTGCCGGTTGCGTTTCTTGCCCAGGCCGCGTGGGCATTCATCTTGGCGCAATTAACGGGCGATCACGATCTTGTCTTCGGATTGGTCTCGCAGAGTCGCAATGCACCTTTCCCCCTACATGCAAGAAGTCAACGGCCCCTGTAGCAACATTCTGCCGACGAGAATTATCATCGAGCCCGACTGGACAGTGGGTCAGTTCGTGCGCCATGTCAAGGACCAATATGTTCGTATGATGCCACATTCCAGTCTCGACCTGAAAGAGATTCAGCCCTTGATCCCGAGTTGGTCCCCTTCCATCAGATTTGGGAGCGTCTTCAATCACGTCAATATGAGCCTCTTGTCGGCTCCGCACCTAGGTGGGATGGAGTGCGAGCAGGGCGTTGTGTCTCCCGGGGGTGCGGCTCGGTTCCTCCGTGGCTATGGCAAGTTCTTGGTGCGGACTACTCGACAAAATGACAAGCTTGGGATATATCTATCAGGATGGGAGAAAGGTATTCGATCAGATTTCATTCATATACTGCTTGATCGATTTGTGCAGACCATTCAAGAGTTTTCGCAAGATTATTCTCGCCCTCTAGGAATGTAGCAAGGACTAAAAATCTCGGAATTCATGTGATAAGGAGGGGGTACCCACGTGTCTCTAATCAAGATCTTCTAGTTCTTCAAATCAGATACTAGCAACTATACCGCACGAAGCTCTTTCCTATGCACAGGTAGAATAAGGGTTCCTCACCGCTGGGCTTTGGGCCCCAAAGCTCCAGGTCCCTTGGGATAGAACATATAATGTAAAGAGAAACAAAAGGTGGTTTCTTTATAGGACTGTGTACATCAAAGATAGCCAAGAAGCCGTCCTGCTTTCAACGAAAAGAATTGTTAATTAAAAGATACCACTCGACCCCCAAGACGCCATAGCATTTGAATTCAGTCTATTTCGTACTTTCAATGCTGCCTGGAAAAAAACTGTCGTATTTTCCCAGTGCTAGAAGCGGTATGCATTCAGAGCGGATTTGAAAGCCTCTTCAACATTATCGACCGAAAAATTCATTACACAATAACGCTTTTCACCCAATTTATATCTCATATTTTGCTCAAAATTGGACCTTTCGATATAAAGATTGCGAATCATTCCTCTCGATATATACCCTAAGCCAGCTTCCTGTAACGCGGGGGCCTGCGAGGAACATTAAAGTAAGAGATCAACCTTTAAGTTAGGAAATGTAACAGGATTCCTGCATACTGGCGCGCTACCTATAATCCTTCATATATGTAGTCTGGAAATATCAAAGCAAGAGCTTTGATATTGTGGTCTCTTTTGGCCGAGTGGTATAGAGATCCAGACACTAGAACACGTTACGTAGGGGCTAAATAGGTATTTGGGGCATATCTATGGGTACCTATGGGCGGGTTGTAAAATTTCGGCCTATAGCCAGCCTACTGCATAGGTCTGAGTTTTGTTACTATATAAGGAACTTAGATAATATAAATCATATAGTATTAGACGCAAGTAACAAAATTAGAGAAGGAAGAGAAGAGAGGAAGCTATCTACATATTATATAAAGGAATAGGCAGCTATAGGTCACGTGTTGCACGTGACGGGTTTGAGGATAGGCATATCGTTACAAGAAGCTCCATAATGCTTGTGTGGGTTGGGTGAATACTTGTATACTAAGATAAATACTGAACAAGACATCAGTTTCCTAACATTATCTAAATACCATGGGGCTTTCATATGGCTCGCATTGTAACAAATCATATGGTTACTACGTTCTGTGTTGCTTCTTATGCATCTGTCCAGGCATCAACCCCGTTTGTATCTAGTTGCTACTTCCGACCCTTGATTACTTTCATTGAATCGCGACTACACGTTGCCTGGCATTCGTCTTATCTTGATTTTCGTTGTAATTGGACACTCTCACACGCATATGCATATCAGGATACATATTGGACTCTGTGCGCCTGGTCTCTCTGAAGGAACAGGAACTTGGACCCGTCGTAAGCAGGTCAGCTCACTAAAAAGTCACCTCTAGATCTTTCTCCACTACCTAACATCTGAGTAATCCCATACACCCCAAGTTTATACCGCAAACCCACCACTGTTGGCTTGTCGCGGCTCCCCCGCAGCTTCAAAAGTACCGTTGGGCAGTCGCCGCAACGCCTGAACCTGAGTCTGACCTGGAGCCACCCACGTCACATTGTGTCCAAGGGAGCACATGTAATTCACAGTACGGTTGTCGTAGGCCCAGTCAAAAGTCACCTGATTCGGTATGAGCTGGTCATGCAAACGTGGCTGGGCCAAGGCTTCGTGGGGCGGCATGTCCTGATCTACAGCATGAATGAGACTCTGGATCGTAGCAGTGGTGATTCTAGAGCCACCTGCTGCCCCTACCACAAAGTAAAGAGTGCCATTGGGGTGAGTGACAATGGTAGGTGTAATGGAAGAAAGTGGTCGCTTGCCGGGCTTGATATAGTTGCTGGCCTGGGGGACGTAGCCAAATGCATTATCGACATTGGGAATACTGAAATCTGTTCTAACTGTTAATTGAATATATCATCTGGGGGTGATTCAAAGTAAATATTCACCATTCATTTCATTGTTCATGATGACACCTGTCTCAGGAACAATGACGTGACTTCCGAAGGCGAGGTTGATAGTCGTCGTCAACGACACGGCCATTCCCGAGTAATCGGCGCTAACTATATGTGAAGTCCCTGGTCTTCTTCGAGTCAAAACCTTCCATGTCAACACTGTGCATAGTAAAAGACGGAACATACGTATTGATAATGTCAATGTTGTCAGGGTCATATGCCGAGACATCTTGGGTGTGAAAATCGGAAATTCGAGAGCAGATTTCTCGACTTGTGTTATCACTGATCATTCTATTTTGATACTCATCGACTCCCTGGACAAACGAAGGATCACCGAGAAGGGTTCGCTGTGATTCAGTTATAGTCTAACACTTATTCTTGAGAGGAGGTGGGGGGATTCACCTGACCATAGGCAAACCTCATTGCCTCGTCCATTCGATGGGTACTGAGGTTAGTCATTCCGGGACTGAAGAAATGGTCATATCCTTCAACAATTTTGAGCGTGCTTAGAGTAACTGGGCCACTGGATGGTGCGCTCGTGCTTGTAATCTTCCAGCCACGATAATCAATTTGCAACGGTCCTCTGATAGCCACCGTATAGTTCCTAAGATCCTCAAGAGTCATAGTTCCATTTGCAGATTGGATGGCGTTGATCATACTTTCCGCGAGAGGGCCAGTGTAGAAAGCATCCACACCTTGCTTTCCAATGACCTCGAGTAGATCAGCGTACCGCCGGCGTGTCATAGTATCTCCAAGTCCAAGACGAGTGCCATTTGGAGCGAAATCAATTGCCCAGCTAGGATTCAGCGTCAGGAAATCCTCAGTTCCTGTAGTGGCCTTAATCATATTTGCCACGAGATCCTGCGTAACTTGAAAGCCATATCTTGCAAGTTGAATCGACGGCTGTACAAGCGAGTTCCACGGAAGCACACCATATTTGGCGTGAATATGTTCCAATCCACGTAGCTGCCCTGGTACACCGCTCGCAAGACCGCCATATATAGAAAGATTGGCGTTAACATCGTACATATCCTGTGAAGCTGCACTTGGGGCAGTTTCTCGGAAATCGATGAACTCAAAACTGCCGTCCTTGTCGTGGACCAGAGCGAATCCGCCGCCACCAATTCCACTATGGTGCATACCAACGGTACCCACGCAAAGTACTGTGGCAATCATTGCATCCGCAGCATTTCCACCTTTTTGCAAAATTTTGGTCCCAGATTGACTGCAGATGGAGCTCTCGCTTGCAACAGCTCCAAGACGGGCCGCTCCGAGGTGCGGGTTTGCAAATTCCGGCAGAGCTATTCCATATGACTGCCGGGCGACCAAGCCAGCTATGATCAGCCAAGAGAAAAGCATCGTAGAACCAAGTGAATGCATGACGGCTCCCAATTTTTATGTCAATATTTCTGCCTATGAACTAGACATCCCACCAGATATTTATATTCCTGGTCTGCATCTCCGAAATATATTTGTTTTCAATTTCATTACGCAACAGTCTATGAAGCCCATTTAATTTGAGAATACTTCTTGTTACATTCTAAAATTACATTCTAAGATCATGCTACTTTACGTAACTGGCTGACAATTTTGCAAGGGAAAGAGCTAAAGCAGATGTCTTGAGCCTGTTCCGCGAGCACTCCGCGCAAAACTGATCTTGCTACTCTATTCGGAGACCCGAGCTCTGATCAAATGAGTATTAGAAAAGAGGTTGTTCACTATCTTCATTAAATAATGCCACCTACCTTAATAACGAGGACGCTATATTTCAAGATGATAACGCACCTACACATACTGTAAAAATCATCCCAGCCCTACTTCACGAACTCAAAGTTACTGGGATGAAATAACCTCCTTATTCGCCATTGCAATCTTATTTAGAACCCTTGGGCTCTATTAAAAGCAGATATCGTAAAATTCGACCAGATCTAGGGGAGATGTCCGATATTGAGGAGATGTGGGCAGAATTAACAGAAACTGCGCAATCTGCATGGGAAAATCTGACTACCCGTGATTTTGTTAATCTGACAGAGGCCCCGTCTCACCGAAGAGAGGAAGACATTAGTTATGAAGGCTTACACACTAGTTATTGGGGCAACGTTCAGTGCTTCGACAGGCAGAAAATAAAGTGGGGGGGGAAGGAGCCCTGCCCCAATACTCAGTGAACGCTGGAAGTGGTCGTCGTAATCAGCATTAAGGCTTCGGCCTAGGTCACCTTGGATCTTAGAGAGCCTCCTCTCAGGATCTCCGATTATGACTCCATTGAGACCTGGCGAAATTCATTTATTCGGCCGACAATATTTTCACTGTCGGGGCCGTCTTCGCCACGGTTCGAAAGGGTTCTACTAGTTATCTACAGCCTTGTACATAAGTATACTAGTCCAAGCTATATTGAGTTCAAGCTAATGGTTCATATGTGCATCCAAGATGAGTACTCGTTTCAAGCCACAAATCTTACAAAGGATATTGATTCGGTAACTATCAAGCGCAGAGTGGATTGTTGTTTTCTAGTGAGTGTGCCTGAGCGTAATATCCCGTTCGGAACTCCGCTACATGCCGGAGTTTATCTGTTAGAATTTGGCCCCAGTATTTCCTCCCGTAACGACATTTTAGTACGTACTGTAGAATGCAGAGGCGCATGCATTTCGACCTCCACTGGGTTTTCAACAGAATCAAGACCAGGGCCGAAGCCCTCATCCTTTGCACTTGACCCTCTAATATTCACCAAGACCATCTAATATGTTTGGTTTTCCACTCTTGCTTCTTGCAATATTTTGGGTGAAAAAATATAATAGTTAAAGCAAACAGAAATTAGCAGCGAGTCGAACTTGAACGAGTTAATGAATGGCACGAGATGTCCCACGTCGCAGACTTGCAAGATTTTACAAGCCGAGTCCCATCGGATTCATTCAGGATCCGATGAATTTGACTATCATTTGTTGGGTAGATGATGGGGCAACATTTTGCCTGAAGCCTCTTCCCACAACAGTCCACTACGAAGCTTCTGGGCAGAGGCGATCGCCGCCAAGTCCCTCACCCCAACACGGACATCTCGTCTCGAATACCAGTCGCACCTATTACCTGAAAGGGTTTTAAAGACCCACTGATGATTCGCCGAATTACAGAAAGCGGGTTGGTTTTCAACAGCGTTCGACCGAGAGCCTCGGGGATGCGGGGGACTCCGACAGAAAGACGCGCTGCGCCACAGGTGTTCGGACACTGCGAGTTCTCAAGGCCCTGTCAGACGAATATACTGCGTTATGGCACCCTTTTTCCGAGATCCCCCGGATTACCGTGCGACAGTCGATACCACGGTATGAGGACGCTGAATGACCCTGAGACCGAGGCACATAGTGGTAAGTTATCCGGCCATCAGCTCTACAATAAATCCGATTAGGAATTATACGGTACTATGTATTAAACTGGCTACTACCCCATTCTGCATTCATTGACCTCAAGTCAATGTTCGTTCTTTCCATTTTTTGTGCATGTCAAGATATCCTCTGAAGAAAAGGCAATGTCAAATACCCACCAGATTCCCCATGAACTTGGTGCAGACCTCAATATGGCCCACTTGGAGACAGTCGACCTGGCACGTATTGTGACTGGTGACTCACAGGAGACGCAGAAACTGTACAATGCTGCTACACGTCCCGGGGCCTTCTTTTTGAACTTTAAAAGTAGAGATGAAGGTATACTCGACGCCTTGCCACGATTGTATGCCCTGTCAGACCGTTACTTTCAACGTCCCCTTACAGAAAAATCGAAGGACTTCCGCGAGGGTCAACCTGCTTCTAGAGATCGTGGGTAGGACACACCCTTCTAACTCGTTCGATAGCATCATGTGAACTGACTCTATCAAAGCTACAAGACTGGTGATTGTGATGAGACATTCGAGGTACATAACAGCCCTATCCGTTGCTTTTGGAGAGGCTTTGCTAACTACCTTCACAAGTTTTCCGACGACGAGCTCTTCCGTGGTGACGCAAGACTTCCGCCAATTCTGCACGATGAGAGCGAGCTAGTCCAGCAATTCAATAAACTCTGCCACTCTGCTGCCATCAGTATACTTTCATCACTCTCTGATTTCCTCGGCATCGAGGGCGAGAAGCGATTTGAAGCGCACCATCGGACTACAGAGAGCAGCGATACCGGTCTCAAGCTCATATACGAGCCCTTACTCGCCAAAGCCTCCGAAGTGGTCGAGAATAAGCATACCGACAGCGGGACTCTTACCCTGTTGTTCTACGAGCAGGTGGGATTGCATCTTTACCTTGCTGAGCAGGACCGATGGGACTTTGCAGCGGTCCCCACGCCCGGATGCGCACTTGTCACCGTGGCCGACTCCCTGCAGCGCTTATCGGACTTGAAATTCCACTCACCCCTGCATCGTGTCACGCAGCCCAGTGATGGGGCTGCGAAGCGGTATTTTCTATCGTACTTTCTCCGCCCTTCTCACGCCACTCAAGGCACGCAGGATCAAGTGGCTACGGAGTAATCAGCAACAACTCGGAACCCTGAGGAGCAGATAGTTTCCTAAGACTGAGGAAGATTTATTTATATTTTTTTCCACAAACTGGCTATGGATTACATCCATGTAGAGCTTTTAATGCACGTATGTTCGTAGTGAGTCGGCTGCGGAAGAGGGACCGGGGCTACAGGTCTGGAAGGTAGTTATCTTTGTGTGCCTAATGGGGGAGGAATCCAAACCTAGTGTACTCTACCGCAGGGGAAGTTTTTGCGGGTTAAATACCCTCTTCCAACAATGGTCTTTTTTAGTACATAGAAGATTGGCCCTGCTTACCCCTGAGGTGGATAACATAGGGACCATGATTGGTGCATGACGAGGAGGCCAAGGCTTTGTACATAGCCACCGAGACCCTCAGGTTTAGCTAAATCTCTATTCGTATTTTCTGAATTACGCTCCCAGGCGCTTAGTTATGGAAGTTGACGACTACTACCGTCGAATCGCACCTATTTTTTCCTTGTCCCAGAAAAAATAGCAGAGCTACGGTGCATGCCACAACGGCGAGCGAAAAGTTGAACCACTGACTGGCGCGAATTCCCCCGAGAAAGGTGGAGAGGTTACTTTCAGCTTCGCTGTGGCTGACGGCTCTCTTTTCCAACGATATTTGCACCACGGTTGCAATCGTGATTCCAACGGCCCTTCCCACCTGCAAAACAGCAGTGATCAGCGCCGCGCCGAGGGCCTGATCTTCTAGAGGTAAGCACTGAACTGTGAAAAGGTTGAGTGTCGGATGAAGAATATCAGCTCCTAATGTAGACAGCACCATGGCTGGGAAGCTGTAGGCCCAGTATGTAGTCGACGGTGGTATCGGAACGGCCATAAGGAGGCAGGAAATTCCCACGCAGCTGCAACTGAAAACCAGGAGATAGGACCCAGGGACACGGGAAAGGAGTTTGGCGGCAATTATGTTCCCCACGATACCCATAAATCCTGTCGGTATAAACCGAATAGCCGTGTCTAGTGGCCCTAGTCCTAAATATTCTTGATAGCTAGGTAAGGCAGAACCGTTAGCTTTTGTTCATATCCAGTCCTCTCAAGGAAGTCAGGATACGGAGGTATAACACTTACAAGTACGTCGCGTAGACGAGATAGTTATTGAAGGCCGCAAAAAAGGTAGCCATGATTACCTGCGCAGCATTGAAACGGCTGTTATGAAAGATAGAAATCCTCAAAAGAGGAGGCCTCTGGGTCTTCGTCTCGAGGTACCATATCCACAATATAAACATGACCAACAGAATCAAGGAAGCCAGGAGCGATACCAGAACCCAGCTCACCGTCCATCCGACAACGTTACCTTCCGTCAAAGCGAAGTTTAAGGTTAGGATGGCCCCAGTAACTAATATGCCGCCTACCCAATCAACATTTACCATAAGGTTGGAGCAGGAAGAATTCTCAACCTTTGAATGAGGGATCAGAATTTGGCCGGCCACGGTAACCATTCCGCAGAGAAAGGCGGAGGCCCAGAATATCCATTTCCAGCTGACGTACTGCGCGATCACTCCGCTAAAAATATTTCCTAGCACTGATCCGCAGGAAGACCCGGCCGAATAGATGGCAAATGCGTAGTTCTTATACTTTCCTGGTTGAAAAGTAGCACCGAGGATCCCAATCGCCGTAGGAACATTGGCCGCTGCACCCAGACCTTGTAGGCCTCGGAATAGGTCCAAGACTATCTCATTCGGTGCGAACGGGACCAGGATGGTAAATATGGTGAGCAAAGCCGACCCGATGAGGAAGACCAGGCGACGCCCAACGATGTCTGCAAATCTACCCCAAAGGAGCAGAAAGCAGCCAAAGGTAAGGTAATAGGCAGAGATGATCCATTGTTGGCGCTCGGTAGGTATGTGTAGGTCACGGCCGATACTGGGCAGAATTATAACTGTTGACTGGACGGCGAGAGTCTGGTATATCGTCAACAAGGATACATTCTGTTTTCCAGCCCAACACAAAGACTTACATTGAGAAAGGCTGCTCCAGCCAAGGTAAGAACAAGCGGAAGATAGAGCTTCTGCCCATCTTCCAGCTCTTGGGTCGATTGGATCTCTTGCTCGGCCTTCTCTTTGGAAGTACCGACGCCAGTGGTAGCTGATGTGGATGTGTTGTAGACCGGCGGCTCCAGGACGGGAGTAACACCGTCTATGCTACTAGTACTAGTCTTCATCGTGACAGAGAAGCCCAGCGTTCGAGGGTAGAGGGCAAAAATGGGATCGGTATGCCCTGTATAGGGGAGAACTGAGTGAGCAATGAAATTTTAACTAGGTAAATTCGCGAGGCGCAGGCTCATTGGACAAACATTGCACATTCAAAACACCCTATTAAGTGGCCAATGATGGTAATGAGACCCAAGCTACATTAGAGGTTCTCATTACTACTATTTTACTATCATAGATGTCGCCATAACAAGCCTGCGCTAATCCAGGACAGGATGGTACAAACGGGCCGGTCCGTGAGCTGGCTGGCTATTCATAGTAGCGGTCTCCTCCGCAGGCGGCGGGTCCCGCCCAGCCCACCGTTACATCCAGTTTTATTCCAACTTGATGTCGATCCCATCTGAACCTTATACAACTTAATCTGCCCCATAACTAACAGTTTAGTGGATCCGCTGTGCGCCGATGGACCCTTACCTTTCGCACGAGTGCAGCCCGCTCGGACCCTTTTTCTAGCATAGGAGCATGCCCATGTTAATATCAATATACTCACGAAAGCACGATAATCATGCGGGCTTTGGCCAACATGACGTTACTCATTCCGGGCAACGTTGCGACTTCATCTAGTTCTTAGCACATATAAATGTTTCCTCTTCCTAATACATATTATAGCCTCTCTTACTTGATCTAAAACGGTCTAAGCATTGGATCTACCACGCGTTATTCTTTCCCGCCTCTTTCCCGTTGCCGCCCTTAACTCCCCGACTACAGGCCTTTCGAGGCTATTGACACCGGCATGGAAGGATCGTATCCACTGCAGGCACGCAACACGGTGCGTCGACATCGGGAACGAGCCAAGTACGACTTCGAGACGGTCCATTCCATCGTGAACGCGTCGCCCATCCTCCACGTATCATTTCTGCCTACGAACCCGGCTGATGACCCCTTTCCAACCACCCTGCCCATGATTGGGTATATGGGCTCATTTGATGGCCCGTCGACGGGTGCGCTCGATCTGTATCTTCATGGTCACAGTGCCTCGCGTGTCATGCGCTTAGCCGGCAATCTCGGAAATGAGGGAATCCCCGTCTGTGTCGCCGCGACCCTGCTCGATGGCATTAAGCTCTCGCTAACGCCATTCAACAACAGCTGCAACTATCGCAGCATTGTGATGCACGGCTATGCCTCAGTTGTGACGGATGAAGCAGAGAAAGATTGGGCCCTTCGCCTCATTACGGACGGCTTGGTGCCGGGGTGTTGGGACAATTCCCGCGTGCCTCCCACCCGTGCCGAGAACCTAAGCACGTCTGTTCTCAGGGTTCATGTCGCTAGCGCTAGCGGCAAAATAAGCCAAGGCGGGCCTTCGGACGACAGGAAGGACCTTCAAGATGACAAGGTTACTGGCAGAGTGTGGACAGGGACCCTTCCTGTCTGGGAGTTCGCTGGGACACCCATTCCGAGCATTACGAATAAAGTGGCCCAGGTGCCAGAGTACGTGGTTCAGTGGCGACAGAATCACAATGCAGAGAACGAATCATACGCTCGGGAAGCCATTGGAAATGGTAAACAGTGAGAAATCCAGTAAAGGGTATTCTCTAACGATTGTTAATATGTCAAGAGAAGTGGTGGTAATTTACTACTACTAATCATTTGGTCACATTGAGATCCAGGCTCCCATACGAATTTTATCTAATTCCGGAATCAACTGAGTTCTTGACGTTGCAACTACCGAGTAACGAAGCATTAGCCTGAGCTATTCCAACAGCGCCTTTATCCCATCTTTGCCATCAATAATCAGTAATCAGATAACTCCGGTTATTACATTGGACACCTACTTTACTACTGAATGTTGCTCTAACTTCATTTGACAAAATGTAATTATTTCCCCTAAGCATAGGCCAATTTATCCAACTTTTGCCATTCTGCGCTCTCCGTATACATGGCTCGGATTGGAGCTAATAGAACGTTGAAGGAATCTGCCACAGCCCTGCTCAAATCTTCTGGCTGTAGCTGGCCTGTGACGAACGTCGCTTCGATGGCCTCATACGAGGCAAAGTTCTGCTCCTCTCCATTCTCATCGTAGGTGGTGAAAAGCGTGCCGGTCGGCGACCCTGGGCTACAGAAAGGGTGCTGGTCCAGTTCGGAACCGTTGTTCTCGTGTACGTTCAAGCCTGTCTTTCCTAGCAATCTCTCCACGCGCTGCTCACTGATGGGAATCAAAACGTCTCGAAGCAGCCCTAGGACTCCGTTTCCAGTCACTTGTCGTCCGGGACACGCTGCCCGGAATATCTTGTCGCGAACTGTCTCGGGGCCGTCCAGAAACTCGATCTTCGTCTCCGCCGGCTTGGAAGAAGACATTTTCAAACTCATCTAGCCCTACTACCATGGTATTCATCAGATGCTCCCGGTGGCGGTACCCGAGCATAGGGATGAACTTATTTGCGTGCTTGAAGAGGCCCGTCTTATCACCAAAGCTGTTAGCAGGCATCTATCTGGGTAGCGTTCATTTTACGAACCTGATCCTCGCCACCATATTGTATGTCCAGATCTAGATACGGCTCCGAGAGCGACTGGTGGATGGAGCAGAGCAGGGGGCTTATTTTTTCTGTCTCTGCTACTTCGTTTGAGGTGTCTCGCGCATCATTTTGCGTCATTATGGCGCAGAGCCTTTGGACATCAACCACAAAGTCCTTTTCATAGGCAATGCTGGACTCCGCCACAAAGTTTATCTGGGATGGTGATACACCAAGCGTCTTCAGGATAGCAGTGATCAGGAAGTGGTAATATTGTTGTCGATATGCCACTGTCTCCATGGAATGTATGTAATTCACAAGAAAACCGTAAACATCAAGGTAGTACACAGTCACCTAAGCGCACGTTAGCTTGCAGGTTGGATTGGGCTACGGATAGGTATGTACGGACATCAAGGCCAGCTCTGAGGAAGTCAAGCAGCTTCGCAATTGGCACGAGGTACCCAACATGAGCTAAGGTGCAAAGGTCAGTCAGTGCGCGCATACATTATAATTTCAGCTCGAAGGAGACATACGCTTGCCTGTAGGTGTGGTTTCCCATGCCAACTTGAGCTTGGGCTTTTCTTCCAGCAACCGTTTCAGAGATTCTGCATCGGCAGCTTCCAGGAATGATTGCCTCCTCGTAATGAGGTTAAGCTTCTCCTCTGTGGATAGTGTATTTTGACCCATTGAAAGTCTGCTGGATTCCGAATGCTCGTCCTTGAGTGATGGGAAAAGCATGTATCCTAAATGGTAATCGGGGCGCCAGGATGAAGTGAACAGCTCTCTGAAAGGATAACCCGCGGGTGTCGCCGAAGTCTCTTCTTGTATGAATTAGTATGTGATGGCCGAGCGTAACTTTCCCTATAATCGCGCTAGGCTCCGAGGACAAGGGTCCTGTCAAAGGGTTTAGGGTGTGGGACTTGATTTTGAAGTCTACCGCACCCAGTAGTGACATTGTGAGCGACATCGGGAGTGGCCGAAAGGATGTTGCAGAGATTTAGCTGAATCGAAAGACACATATTCGATGAAATGGAAGCGGATTGTGGTATTTAGGCGAGGGTACGGAGAAGGGAGGGGTGTACTTCCAAGTTCTCAAATAAAAGAACCTAAGAAAATAATTATCCATCAGTCGAATTGAGTTTAACGGATATTAGAATTTGGCAAAGACTGTCTCCCTGAGGTCCAGGTCTTGACACCTCGAGTCCGTTTTTCCTCGCTCGTCTCGGGGTGTTTGGATGATTTCGATACTACACTTGTCGTTGAAAGCCCATAATTTCCATTCCTCCCAGTACTCAGCCTCCCGAGGGTAATCCGCGGGTCTCGCCGAGATCCATAAATGAAGGCCAATATGGGGGCCAAAGGATGACTTTAGTAACAAGTAAGATTCAGTGCACAGGCACATTCCCAGGGCGTAGGGTTGTGCTTATAATAAATTAGCTTGATCAAGTAGGGGGGGGCTAGGAGTAATACCCTGTTCCTTGAAAGCTCAGTGGGTCTTCTTTCCCAATAGAGTTGTAGTAGATAGAATAATCTAGACACAATCATATATGCCTGGCGGATTTTTCCGTTCTTGTCCTTTTTGCTCAGAATATTGAGAACCAAGTCTCCCTCCTGTGTAACCAATCTATCAACTTCGGAACCCGTATATTCTCAGAATCACAGACCCAAGTACCAATCGACTGAAAGTTCGAGTTTGGAACTTTTCCCGTCGAGGTTACTCTATCTGCAAAGATGTATCCGTACGTTATATTTGTCATCTTAGCCCTCTGTGGCGGCATTCTATGGATTTTGGACCTCGCAAAACGGCGACACGCTGTTAAGCCTGGGGATTTATCTAGGGATTTGAAGCTTGCTGGTATGTAACTTGCCATTTACTCCCTATAACTACTACCTACGGGTGTGAATAATCGTTGAGACATCGTTAGTGCCAGCCACTTCGGGTGATCATGTAGAACACGAGCAGCTGCTATATATGAGAATGTACTTCAAGCTTCATAACTTGGAGGATTATACAGTGTTCCTCCCACTGGCGAGGGACACGTTGCTTTCGTTGTTGGCTGAGGCGCTATCCTGGGAGCGAAAAAGACCGGATTCCATTCTGTCCCTGAAAAGCTACAGCCTAGCCGCTCTACAGGCTTTCATTCAAAAGCAGGATGAACTGGTTGCTGAGAAATGGGAGCAATACATCGCCAGACGGAGGTCGGGAGGAACGCGGGAGCTATTCCAGACCCGTGAAGAATCTCATGATTGGATAAAGCAGAGGGCACCACTCAAGCTCGTCGATGGAGCTTGGCTTGGTCATGTTCACAGGGTCAGCACGCCGTATAGCAAACGGCATGTGACTAAAGACGCTTGGCAGGTTATGTCAGAGGAGTACGGTGATGGGAGTCTGGAAATGCACCATGTCCACTTGTACGGTCAGCTCCTTCAACAGGCTGGAATTCACCTTCCCCAACCACACTCGGCCGATTTCATCCACCCTCGACATGCGATGGGCAATACCCTGGTATGGAAAGCCGCTGTTTCACAACTACTCATTTCCCTCTTCCCTCACGAATTTCTCCCTGAGACCCTCGGATACAACATGCACTTCGAGCGACTCACACTAGAGACCATGAGTGCGGCTAAAGAGCTCGAGGAGTTGAACCTTAGTGGTTATTACTTTTTTCTTCACATCAGCATCGATAACTCCCATTCAGGACACACTGCCATGGCCGTGAACAGCGTTGCGAAATTCCTCACGCATGTCGAATCCACAGAGGGGCCCGAGGCGGCTGAAAAGGCCTGGAGGAGAGTCCAGGCCGGCTATTCCCTGTCGAGCGCGCATTCTTGTCCTGAATTTACATCCCCAACAACCTCTGGCAACGAATGGAACAAAGAGCTCGTCGAAGTTTTCAAAGCCAAGGCACAGTCGGCGGGGAATGTTCACTGCCCCAGCCTAGTCAAGGTTGATGGCCAGACACTCAGTCAGTGGTTGGCTCTCGAGAACTTCTCTTCGATACAGAGCCAAGAGAGATTCATCGCGGCTCTAGCTAAGATGAAACCATGGATACGTCCGGGCGACAGTGCGAATAGCCGCTTCATACGAGAGTTGTCTTGGGGCGGCAAGATGTTTGGGGCCTTCACCTCTGCCGAAGTCGATCTTGTCAGGAGATGGATTGATACCCTCGGTAACCAGTGCCCACAGGCTTACCTTGAGCTCTTCGACGACCTTTCTCCATATCCACCTGTGCAGGGAGATATTCGTATACACTACCCCCTGTTCGCCCCGGGAGGCCTAGATTGTCTCGAAATCCTCCACGCGCCAGACTACGATTTCAAAACGGAAGTTGGCACCAAGACTATCCTGTCAAGACTTCTTCCGCTTTGGTTTACACACCAATGTGTCCTGGAAGGATTGGTGGCAGTCCCTTCGAGGACGGCGAATCAGACGATGTCGGCCGCCATTCGTGTCCTCAGAGCATATAACGGCTTTGCTTCTGTTGATTCTGGCGTGGCCGGCATGGATGAAGCCAGAAGAACAGCAACGGTTGGACTCATCGAGATGGGTCTACACATGGTGGAACAGGCTGGGCTGCCGCAGCCAGCATCTCTCAAGCAGGTGCTCGATTTATGGCCTTGTGAGTTTTCTGTTGCCTTGTTGCACCTCTCTATGCGGCCGATCAAGAATAGAGATTTGCTGTTGGGACTTGCTTCGGCGTTTTCGGCACTACATGTGGCTGTCTTGAGGTCCCAATTCTTGCCACCAACAGATCGGGGGGTCTTGAGAAGCATCATCTGGACCGAGCGACTATCTTTCAAGCTTTGCGCAGAAGGCGAGAATCTTGCAGAGCAGAGTCGTCTTGAATATCAACGAGGCCAAGAGTTGGGCGAGAAGGCTGTCACAGGAGTGTGTCGGGCTATCAATCAATTCAATTGAGTCATACATTTGGCAGAATGAGGAAAAGCAGCTAGCGATTATTTATTGCGTCGATGTGTGGCTGGAAACGGAGGTTGTCACTTGAAGTTAAAGCAGATTACAAAATTCGTAGAGCCATGAGCAAGAATGGATGGAAGGAGGTTGACGTTCCAACCCGGGAGATGCAGGCGATAATAGACGACAGTAGATTAGGATAGACGAATGCTTAAATTATAGTGTGCAGTCAGAATAAACGAGGGTGGTGACAAAAAGTGAGACCATAAGAATCTTACAACGGAATCAGACACCGAGCTGCGCGAGCCCCATCGAAATTCAGCCATTAACAATGCGACCCCAATTCTTAGCAATTTTATCTTACCACAAAACCTACAGTTACAGTAACTACAGGCGTTGAGTCCATTTCTCTGGCTTGTCCAGATGATTAATATCAGCTGGTGTGGAAGCACTGCCATCTAAGTTGACAAGCTGGTCAACCAGGTCAAAATTGAATAATGTAAATAGGATGGGCGGGAGAAAGGACCAGTGTAGTTTTGCTTCAAGTAGGAATTGACCTGGGACAGGACTTGTTCAAATTTAGCACGGATCTTTGGGTTGGTATGTACTATTTCTCCGATAAAGTGACAACTTGTAGGGTGGTTTATGTTGCCAAAAACTCGGTTCGGTCTAAGTTTCGCAGGAAGACTTGGATCAATGAAAGTACAGACAGGGACAGATCGGAATTGCCGACTGTCATATCCACCATCGAATTGAGGGTAAGTGTTTCGGTCAATAGCATTATTCCGAGTGTTATTCGCCATAGATGTGATATCTTACCTTGTGAATTATAAGAGAGTCGGTCCTATTATGGCATTAACTGCATTCTATGTTACTCTAGAGCCGGGTTCCTCCGCATGAAGGGTATCATGTCGACATTCTCGGCCGAGTACCACTACAACTTTCTTTCGATATTTTCGAAGATTGCAAAGAGCAATTGTTGATATGTCGAATTCTTATGACAGATTCTCGTGTTCCCCAATTTCCTTGTTCTCTGCTGATTTGTACTTCTTTCTCAAACATCAGTCGATTGAACCCTTCAAATGAGTGTTCCAAAGGCTAAGTATCCTATTGAGACCCAATAGATTGAATAATACCATGCCAAGCAATTCAGCCTCTCTAGATGTATTAGTATCATTGTAATAACTATCTCAAGAGTACATGAGTCACGGACATAACTCACAACCCGGAGAGGGTGGGGTGTGATCTCAAAGAGAAACCTATCATCTGTCTTGCTGGGGTGGAGCAGCGGCTGTGGCATCAAATTACGAATCACACCCGGTGAACTCCGCGGAGACCTTGGAGCGGGAAACCAGATAAAGGGAAATTAGAAGAGTAAAGCCGATCAGGTATAAATTGACTGGCTGGACTCATCTTCCAAAATTGCTTATTGCTTTAAAACTACGTTTCAATCAGAAAATATGGCAGTAGCCAGACCGCGCGGACCGTTCGTCCCTCTTACTCCGGTTTTTTTGCCATCGAACAAGACTCTGACAGGACGATCTGTTATCCTCGAAAAGCTCGAGCCCAAGCATACAAAGGGTCTTTTCGATCTCGTCGGGGGTTATGAACCTACCAGGGCGTCCCTTTGGGACTACATGGGGGATGGGCCATATACGCAATTAGATGTATTCGAGAAGAGCGTTTCAGCAAAGTCGGCCTCACTCGATCCATTCTATTTTGCTATCATCGATAAACGCAGCTTAGTCCCTACCTCTGGAAAACCAATCGGATA